AATTGTAGGGGTATGAACTCACCTTATGTGAGTGATTCGTTTGAAGGTTCGATATAGGATGTTATTTCCACGAGTGAAGTCCCGTAGCAAAACCGAGTCCTAATTAGCATTTTATGTAATATATATGTATACAATTAGCGTATATAATCATAAGAATGATAAGGAATTAGACAGATTTGTAAATTTAACTTACAAATAAGAGTGTTAGAAGCAAAATGGAAGGTTGCTAGGAGTTTACGGCTAGCCTGGGAGTTCACGGCCCAAGAAGATATTGGTGAATGAAGAACACTTGAAGATCCTAAGCAAGATCCTAAGAAGATTCGAAGGAAGAAGGATGATAGTTGAGAGAGAATGAGGGTTTTCGGTTGGTGTTCTTAAGTGTGAAAGGGTGAGTTTTCGGCTGGAATTGAAGAAGTGAGGGGGAGTTCACGGTTCAGCCCCCATATAGGGTCAAAACTGATGGGACACCTTTGTTGGTTTCCACACCGAATGGATAAGACCGGAGTTTATGGTCCGAGGAGTGGGTTCTCGGCTGTGAACCTTGTTTGCGGCTGAGAACCGTTTGTGGTCCGAAGTCTCAAGCTATGCGAGGGTTTGCGGCTGCGAGGGTTTGTGGCTCAGATGAAGGTTCTCAGTTCCATGAAATTCACTTCTAATTCAAGCAACACTTCTAATTAAAGGTTTTAAACCAATCTAGAATTTAAATCTACTTTACATAAGATAGATCAAAGTAAGAAGTTTGACCTTAGTTCGACTTTTACGATAAAGAAAATAACGCGTTGTCACACATGACCATAAAGTTGGCACCTTTATGAAAACCCCTCAAGACCCTAGATCTGAAGTATTCTCCATCTGGGACGTCCAAATCATTTGGACCAGAAGCAAGCAAAGAACTCTAAAATGGAGATCTAAATGACTACAAGACAAGGTTCAAGCTTTATATCAGAAAAGTGTCGTGGATGAGGCAAGGATTTTGGATCTATATGCTTCTTCTTGTGCACTCAAGCTTTTCCTTCTTCTAATGGCTTCAACCCACACCAAAAACACTCAAAATGGATCACAACCTCTCAAAATAGCTTTAGGGTTTTGAGATTTAGGGTTAGGACAGTTGAGGCTGGAAATGAGGCCAACATGAGATGCTTAAGTTGTTCAAATAGGGTGAAAAATCTCGGATTTAGGGTTTCCCAAACACCGTCCAACTCGTCGAGTTGGTTTTTAAATTCCCGCATGCTAAATTATTCCAACACGTCGAGTTCTCCCCCTTAAACTAGACGAGTTAACCTCTTAAATGAAGATTATCTTTCCTTAATTGGCCTTCTAGATTTCGGGTGTTACAGTTACACAAGTCTTACGAAGAAATATTTTCCTTTCCAAGCACCGTCGTTATGCTTGGACTTCAAAACAAGGGGGAATCTATCAGATTTGACCTTCAACAGAAACGGGAGTTCCTAAAAGTTGTAAGATCATAAACATAGGCCAACTCATTTAGACTAACGGAAAGATCTCTGGAGCGATTCAAATGATCGATCCAATAGAGGATCCTCCAAATTGTTGGCATGACTTGAATGTACGAGATTTTTATAATCTCAAAAAATTCAGAAATGATTTCGGAGAAGGGGTAAGAGAGCCCTAAGGCGAAAGGATACTCGGGAAGACAAACCCAAGTTAAAGAAACGAAATCAGGTTGAATCCTAGCATCAAAAGCCCTAAAGACGGTGCCAGCAGGAAAAGTTCTAGATGAATTCAACATCTCAATGTCATCATCGGTGAATGTACAAGTTTCCTCATAAGACAAGATCTTTTGATCCGTGAAATCATCATCGGGTATAGCAATGATGCTTGCATGAGATTGAGTTTCTTTCTTGCCTATGATTGAAACTGAATAGGGATGAAAAGAAAAGGAAACAAGAAAAGTACCTTCGAATGGTATTCGATGAACGTCGGAAATGAGAGCTAAAAGAGTAAGGTAGAACTGAAAGGCTGGGTGTTTTATTTATATAGAAATCACGGAGAGGTAAAAGGTTGATGTGACCTATTCCAAGGGCTAAAAATTTAACTGTTGAAATTTAAATTATCCTATATGTTAAACTTCAAAAGCTTATCTCTTTTATTTTGTTTTAAATTATACCTTTAAATATTGGATAAATAGCCTTAATATTTTGCAGGAATAATTTGGGGGGGAATTGTTAGGGCCAAGATCCTAGAATTACATCCAGGATCCTCAAACCTCAAGATCCTTAATCATACTTCAGGATCCCAATTATTATCATTTATTTTCGTAACATTTATAACGGTAACATGCCTCTTTATTTTTCTCACGTGTGCAAAAATTGTCAGCTAAAGACTTATTCTCAACAACGAATCATCTTGACCATGCAAAAGACCCGGAATACCAAGTCAAATAACGTCTATAAGCTGATCTCGGAGGATCCTGAAATTATCAGACTTCTTGTTATTAGTATTAGACTATAAATAACACCTGTATTCAACACACTACGAACACACTTAGCTTATCCACAATACTTGTACTTACATTTATACATTCATCTCTGTAATCAACAGTTTCAATCAATAAAATCATTAAGACAGATGATCATTATCACCTCCCAAGGTTTTATGCCGGAGATCCTAATAATGATCAATGACTTTCCTTGTAAATCACTTGTGTCACTTTGATCATCATGTTATACTTACTTTACCCTGAATATCACAACCTCTCATACAAATTGGTTGATTATTGATTGTTCATTTTTTGACCAAAACAGCTAGCTTCCAAGCAATTTCAAGAATGATTTTGATTTGATTATCTTTTATCATAATCAAAAGGTATGTTTCCTAAACCTTTTTAATATTTTCGAAAATCATAGGGTTCTTGATATTCAAATTGATTATTGCATTCAATAGTGAAAACCTAGATCCTTAGGGTGTATGCGAATTTAGGGTTTTATCTTTTCCGCCCAAAATATGATTTTTGTTATCTATAAAACCCATCACTTAGGATGTATCATCTGTATTTTAGGACGTAAGACGTTGAGATACTGTAGTATGTTGTTAGGCAAGTAGACTCGCTTAGTCGTTTTTCCTGTTGTCGTGGGATTGTTTATTTGTTTAATTGTATATGTTGACATATCATATGTTGAATTAAGGGAGGTCCAACTATGTGTTGTAGGCCAAGATACTTGGGGCGAACCGGGCCGAATCAGTCAAAAACTTCTAACCAGACACGGTTATCACCAAATCAAACAAACCCTTAATCCATCCTTTTTAGTTTGTAAAGTTTTAAAAACCGTATTCTAAGTCTTGACTTGCTTGTAACTATATTTTTCATATATTTTTAATATATTACCGTCGTTAAAAAAAACAAAAACAAAATAACAATTCGACTTTTTATTGAAAAAGGAAACGTTAGAATTTTCTTAAATATAATCAAAATAATCGTTACATATATATAATAACAATAAAAGAAAATGGGTATTGTGACAAAAATGTTAATTATATATAAGGACAATCAAAAGTTTTGTTATGATCACAAAAATGTTGTTATATGTAATAACAATTATAAAAATTGTTATTTTGACAAATGCTGTTATTTGACTTTTGAAGCTTATATAAATCATTTTTTTTCTCAAATACAACTTACATCTTTAGGCACTGTTTTGTATGTGGTACAGAACTAGAATAGAACAGAACTGGACCAGACAGAACAACACCATTTCATAAGATGTTTGACATGGATGGAACAAAAAGTCAATGGAACAAAAAACCAGTCAATGAGACTAATTTGTTAAATTTTAGTCCCATCTAAAATGATAAAACTCAGTGGAAAAAAAAGACAAAAAATCCACCTTATATCCTTGTCCACCCCTCTATCTTTCAACTGTCAAGCAACACTCCGATGACAACCACTCCTAGAGACATCGTGATGGCCCCACCTCTTCTCTACAAAAGCTTCCCTTTCCCAGTCTGATCTGCTACTTCATCTGCTGCTTCATCTGTTGTCCATCTCAAATGCTCGGTCTGCTTCTCTTCCTCTCTTGGTCTATGTTTCCTTTTCTCACTCGCTCCTGCGCATGGTAAGATCTTATTGATTGTACTTGTTCTTTTCTCGAACAATTTAATGTATGTATGTATACATCTGCTTCGTGATTTGTAGAATGATAAGTTAGAAAATAGATTAATCAACAAGTCGAAGGAGAATGAAGAAGAAAGCACCTCGATTAATGAGTCTGAGACCTCAGAAAGTCGAATTCGGCAAGAATCAAGATCAAAATTGAGAATATAACAAATAAACACTAAGAATGAGATAAGAAAACCTATGGATTTTTTCAGATTTGGGTGTGAACGTGAGAGACTATGCTTACTAGAAAAAGAAAAGGAAAACTATTTGTATCATTTTCCCAATATTCATTCATGATTTGTTATATGGTGACAGATGAAAATGGACAAAATAAATAATTTTAAATTATATACGTATGAAGAAGAGTGTATACTTCATTATTTGTTTTTTCCTTTATATGCTTTACTCATATTTGTGTTTAAACAAATAATATGAATTTATTATTCAACAAAGAATTTCATTTTTTTTGTTTAATTTAGGTTTCAACAATAATAAATTTATGGTTTCAAGAATAATAAATTTTGGTATAACTAACAACATTTTATTTGGTAATTATAAAATTATGTTGTTTATTTTGGTACGAAGGACAATATAGTAATCTTGACTATATTTTATTGTCTTGTTAGGATTACCAAACACATATTGATAATATATATAATATTGTTCAGTTGTATTCAGTTATGTCTAGTCCTATCCCACTATAAAGGGCTAACGTATGATCTCATTAATGAGATCTTGCTCGAATGACAGCATGATAAAATCTTATCTTCAATTTCCTGGATTTTTATATAATTTTTTTTGGCAAATGTTAAAAAAAAATACATAGTAGCATCACATGCAACTCACGTGACCAAACAATTCTGAAAGTTTATTTGAATTCAAATCTGAAAGCGCCGTTTCTTTCTAACAAGTCTCTCCCTCTCTCCAAATTCAAAATCTCTTATTGTCTCCCTCTCCCTCTCTCTCACACACAAACACACACACACACACACATAAACACAGAGCCGAAACCCTAGGTAATCGATTTCTCTTGTTTGCTTGATCCATACTTTATACACGCAAACAATCAGAAACATGTTTATGCAGTTTGAATTTGTTTGGTTTTGATTTTGTTATTCAATTATAGGGTTTGGAATCTGATTCGAGATGGATGGACCCGATGGGAAAAATGGATCTCAATCTGTTCGAGTAGCTGTTAATGTTCGACCACTGGTTACTCCGGAGCTTCTTGTTGGCTGCTCTGATTGCATCAGTGTCACTCCAGGCGAACCGCAGGTGCTTGGACGTACCATAAGTTGCTACTTTTGAACTGATGTGGCTGTATATGATTATTGTTGAATTTCAGTAAAAAGTTCGAGATTTATACCGGATTTGTTTTTTTTTTTGCTAATTAGGTGCAAATTGGTTCGCATTCTTTCACATTTGATTATGTATATGGGAGTACCGGGTATCCCTCTTCTCGGATTTTTGATGACTGCGTTGCTCCCCTGGTTGATGCACTATTTCATGGCTACAATGCCACAGTTTTGGCTTATGGCCAGGTATTTTTTCCTTCACCTATTTTTCTTCTATGAAACAATTTACTGTGCACAATTTGTTTATGATAGTCAAATATGTAGTCAGATTGCTTATGGTTCATATTCTCACAATGCTTCTTGTCTCTCTTCATTACTAGACAATAAGCGTTTGTTATAGTTTTGAAGCTTATGATTTCTGTTGTTTATTTATTACCAAAGACTGGATCGGGTAAAACCTACACTATGGGCACAAACTATAACGGAGAAGGCAGTAATGGCGTGATTCCAAAAGTGATGGAAATGATATTCAAACAAGTAGAGGAGACCAAAGGCACTACCGAGTTTTTAATCAGAGTATCTTTCATTGAGGTAATGACAATTGTGGTCTTATTCTTATATGGCTTTACTTGTAAATTCTACACACATGCCTTTGTACATGTAGTTACTTGCTGAAATTGTATATTGGTATTTCAGATATTTAAGGAGGAGGTTTTTGATTTACTGGAATCAAATTCAGCAGTATATTCCAAGGCTGATGGGAATGGAAAACCTGTAGGGCCATCTAGGGCTCCTATTCAAATCAGGGAAACAGCAAATGGTGGCATCTCCCTTGCTGGTGTAACAGAGGCTGAAGTTACTTCACAAGAGGAGATGGCTTCATTTCTGTTGCGAGGATCTGTGTGCAGAGCAACTGGGAGCACAAATATGAATAGCCAATCAAGGTTTGTTCTGATTTTATATTCAAAAGTTTGTTACTTCAATGTGATTGTTTTACATGTATCATTTATGTATTAAGTTCGTTTCACCAACATTTCTGCTCTTTCAGTCGATCACATGCCATTTTTACAATTACAATGGAACAAAAACGAATTTCTGGCTCAACAAATGGAGGAGCTCATGATGATGGAGATGATATATTGTGTGCCAAGCTTCATTTGGTTGACCTTGCTGGATCTGAAAGGGCAAAAAAGACAGGAGCTGATGGGATGCGTTTACGAGAAGGTACAATATTATTTAACACATTTTTATTCTTTCAGCCTCCTGATTCATGATGTCTTCATTTTGATGTTATAGTACATTGATGAGTTGTCTAATTATGAGTCTCTTATTGATCTATGTTGTGCTAGGAATTCATATCAACAAGGGTTTATTAGCTCTTGGTAATGTGATAAGTGCATTGGGTGATGAGAAGAAGCGAAAAGAAGGTGGCCATGTGCCCTATAGGGACAGCAAGTTAACCCGCCTTTTGCAGGTGATGTAGTATTTTTATAAAATGCATCTTTAATATAAAGTTTAAGGGTTGAAACTTTAAAACCAGCCATTTATATTCTGGACTTTCACCTTTAATACAAAAATGTTCTAAAAATGCATTGTTTTTCAGGACTCTTTAGGAGGCAACAGCAAAACAGTAATGATAGGTATGATTTTTTGAAGTTTTATGGTGTTTGAGCTAATGGAATATGTATAAATTTCCTTAATAAGCTAACTGTCATTACTTTTCTTAATTTATGTGATGTAGCTTGTGTAAGTCCAGCAGATACAAATGCTGAAGAAACTCTCAACACATTGAAGTATGCAAATCGAGCACGCAACATTCAAAACAAAGCAGTGGTAAGATTAATCTTTTTTTTTTTTTAAAATGTAACACAGCTTTTTATTAGTTATTCCATCATGTTTCCAATCTAATCTTTTGTCATGTAGGTGAATCGGGATCCAGTTACAGCTCAAATGCAACAAATGAGAAATCAAATCGAACAGTTGCAAGCAGAGCTTCTTTATGTAAAGGGAGACTCTTCCACACCATTTGAAGAGCTTCAAGTAAGACATTTGTTAAATTTCCAGTCAATATCCTTAATGAACATATATAAAAAACTTAAGAATCTGCCTTTTTTCCCTCAGCTTTTGAAACAGAAAATAGCAATACTTGAAACAAGCAATGCTGACTTACAGAAACAGCTTCAAGAACATCAAGTCAACTTTGAACATTTGACTAAACAAGCAACTGATGCTCAAGTAAGTCAAGAATATATGAATCAGATCAATTTATTTACAAAAATTTCAACTTGCTGCTATTATAGGTAAAGTATGTTTGCTATTTTTCAACTAGCTTTAACACATGATTTTTTTTACAGTTTGAAAAGGACAAACTGTTATTAAAACTTGAATCTGCTCGTGATGGTAAACCTTGGGATGAGAACAACTGTGACTCGAATAAGGTGTAATGAGTTTTACATACTTCCAAGATTTACTATTTCATTAAATCTTTAAAAGTTATTAACCATTTCAAAACTTTTCAGGATGTTGGTTTATTGAAAACTTATGTCTCAAAAATTCAAGAATTAGAAGGAGAATTGATGCGCACACGAAGATTAAATACTTCAAAACGCACTGAACTTATCGATTTCTTGGATTTGGATGAAACTGTTCTTAACCCAAAAAGTAATTTGTTTCCTGGATCTGATTCTAAACCTGCTGAAGTTGCTGGTAAAGCTCTTATAAATTTCTTTTACTAAAATCTTCTTTGCTCATTATTAGTTCATAAAGTCAATTTACAATCTTATATGTTTGTAGGTAATCCTGAAGATGAAGAGAAAGAGCTAGAACATTGTTCCTTACAAGAAAAACTTGATAATGAGCTCAAAGAATTGGACAAAAAGCTTGAACAAAAGGAGGTATATGGTTTCACCTGCTTTCATTGTGTGTCTATATATCAAGTTATAAAAGCTGACATTTTTTTTTTATTATTAAATCTTCTATGAATATACAAAAGGCTGAAATGAAGCGTGTTGCGGGTGGTGATACATCAGTTCTTAAACAACATTATGAGAAGAAAGTTTTGGACTTGGAACAAGAAAAGAGAGCTTTGCAGGTTTGCCCTTCCTTCTCTAGCTAATTTTAATCAGAAAATTTATAAATTTTCTCACTTTTTTTTGGTAATCTGACAGAAAGAAATTGAGCAACTTAGGAACAATCTTGCAAACATTTCCACCACTTCTGATGACAGTACACAGAAGTTGAAGGAAAATTATCTTCAGAAGCTGAACTTTTTGGAAGCCCAAGTGAGTCCATTCTCTTTAAACTGGATGGATGTTTTAACAATATTAGAGTAATAAATAATTAAATACAAATATCTGAATTTTAGGTTGTGGAGTTGAAAAAGAAGCAAGATGCTCAGGCACAGTTGTTAAGGCAAAAACAGAAGAGTGATGAAGCTGCAAGGAAACTTCAGGATGAGATTCATAGAATCAAAACACAGAAGGTTTATTTTTTATTAAAACCACAGCAAAACTTATAAAATTATTTTTACTAAAATCTATGATTATGCATGTTTAGGTACAATTACAACAAAAAATCAAGCAAGAATCTGAGCAGTTCAGATTATGGAAGGCCTCACGAGAAAAAGAAGTACTTCAGGTATAAAGACTTTAATCATCAATTTTGAGACGGTGTATAAAAATTTGGATTTCATTTCATTTTGATCTATCAGTTTTAATGTTTTATCATTACAATTTCATTTCGTGCTCTAAAAGGTTAATCTTTTTTATAAACAGCTTAAGAAAGAAGGAAGAAGGAATGAGTATGAGATGCATAAGCTACTAGCTCTAAATCAAAGACAAAAAATGGTAAGCTCAAATACTATCACCAATATTTATTTCTCTTTTCTCTCTCTCTCTCTCCTTTTTTTTTTTTTTTTTTTTTTGGTTTTAATCCAATTGCATTAACCTTTGCTTTTGTTTTTAAGGTTGTGCAAAGGAAGACCGAAGAAGCTGCTTTGGCTACAAAACGATTAAAAGAAGTACTCGATTCACGCAAGACTTCTTCACGTGATACATATGGTAATTTTTTAAATTCAAAATGAATTTTCATTACATATTTTATCTTAGCTTCTAGATTCTAACGATATAATGGTGTAAACACTTACAGGAAGTAGCAGTGGACCTGGAGTTCAGGTATTACTATATTTTAATGGATAATCAATTCTTGTACTCAAATAATATATTTTTGTTTTGTGAATATTAAATTGTCAAATTTCATTACAGGCACTGATGCAAGCAATTGAACATGAGCTTGAGGTTTATGTTCGTGTGCATGAAGTACGTTGTGAACATGAGCGTCAAAAGGAAGAGTGAGTGCCCTCCACAACTCTAATGAATATGCAATTAGCCCTTTTATAAATTATTAAATTTGCTAAATTATTTTTCTGATTATGGAATTTCAGGAGGGTAAAAATGGCAAAGGAGTTGGCAGAACTGAAGGATGAAGCAAATATGGCAAAACATTCAAGTTTAAGGTTCTATTACTGAATTCACTTTCTTGATTAATATTTTTTGTTTGGTGACTGGATCGGATGATTCGATGTTGATTGTTGATTGTTGATTGTTGCATGCAGTGTTTGTGGTCAAACGATGTCGCCTGGAGCAAGAAACGCAAGGATATATGCTCTTGATAACATGCTTGCTACTTCATCCAAAACCATCGTTGCAATGGCGTCACAGTTATCAGAAGCAGAAGAGCGAGAAAAAGCCTTTAGTGGCAAAGGTCGTTGGAATCAAGTTCGGTCTCTCCAGGATGCTAAAAACATCATGAATTATCTCTTCAATCTGGCATCATCTTCAAGGTATCCTATTCGTATCTTGGATTGTTTGAGAAATCATAATGTTCAAATTTAATAAATTCCGTTTTGTATGCCTTTACAGGTGCCAGGTTTGGGAGAAAGAAGTCGCGTGTAGAGAGAAGGATACGGAGATTAGAGGGTTGAAGGAGAAAATCGTCAATTTAATTCGACAGATTGAAATGCACAAGGCCGAACTCATTCGACAGGAAAAGCTTAAGGTTTGTGTAATGTGTAATGTGTAATGTGTATGTGTTTCCTAAACCCTAATTTTGTTATGGTTCTCACTATACTTGTTATTTAACAGAAGCTTATGATGTCCAAGAGTTTCAGAAAAAGATCCACACATCAAGATGACGACGGTGAAGGACACGTGTATGATTTGCGACCTAAGGTATTTTTGTAAATTGTTTCTACTTTAACATGTACACGTGTTTAAATTATATTATATTATAGGGACTACGGAATTCGATAGCTTACAACACCAGTGGAGATCTGGATGAATTACTGGAAGACATGGACACGTCAGATTCCGATAATTCCGACGATTGGTTACATTCCGATGACTTCCAGGACGAGTGGGGTAATCGGAGGAAACAAACCGCTAAAAGAAATTCCAAAGCCGACTTCACCGATTCGGAAATCCAGAAAACGTCTCCGACTGAAGAAGGTAGTACGGGTGAAAACCCGAAAGTACCCTTCGGGGAGTGTTGTACATGCAGCAAAAGCTCTTCATGTAAAACGATGAAATGCCAGTGCCGAGCGGCGGAAGGCATGTGTTCGGCGTCGTGTGGGTGTAACCCGAAGAAATGTTCCAACCGGGAAACGGTGGTTGTTGTGGAGCAGTCTGATTCTCGACCACCACTACCAGCACCACCGGTGGCAGTTATGGTGGACGGTGATGTTAATTTATCAGATGATCAGGAGCTTGCGAATCGTGCAGCGGTGTTACTTGAGTCGGCTCTTGGTGATAAGCCGGCTGAGATAAACAACGATGTTGAGGGCTCAAAAAGAAAGGCGCTGTCAGACATTGGGAATAAAATTGTGAGTCTTACTTCCATTTTTTTATTATAGCCTCATAGTTAAAAAAAACCCTACTCAATTACGAATCCAAATTAAACTTATTAGCATCAAATTCGACTAACAAAAAGTCAAAAACTTGATGAACATTTGCAGGTGAAATCTAACGCACCAAAGCCTCCTGCTCCAAGGAAGAAATGGCGCAAATCAGCGGCAATCAAACTGATTCCAGTGGTGGCTCCTCCTCCTTCTCAAATAGAAGAAACAGAAACAGAAGCTCCACAGACACAAAAACAGGAGAGTAATAATAACAATAGCAGTGTTGTTGTTGTTGAGACAACAAATATCCCACAAATGTTAAGGTTACCCAGAGCAATGAGATCTGCAATGTCAAATCCTAACAATTCCATTTCTAATCCTCCCTTGAGAGACCGAAATTCCCAACAGAATCAGTCTGGGGATTCGACTGCTAATAAAGAACCTGAGCATGCTACTGCCATTCCTCTTAGACCAACAACAAACGAAAAAGAAAATAATAATAATAATCATGGGATTTAAGGTAATGGTGTCTGTCTTCATTTATCCATCTAACTCTTTCTTCATTTTAGTTGTTTAAACAAATCCGTAAATGGTAATGTACCTTTTGAGGATAGAGAATGGGACTGTTTGGGTAGGGTAGTTGTGTTATGTGTAAAACACTGATCAATCCTCTATTGATGAGAAGAAGCTTGTTTGGTTTGGTTTGCTTAGTTGTGTTGAAATGTATCTTTATTGGAAATGTAAATGTGTCTAAACCTGTTCTCTTGTTTCACTTTGGTTGCCTGTGGTGTTTTTTATCTTTTATTATTTTGAAATCCAAATGTTTGTGTTTTTACTTACATGCAGTGAGTTGTTTTTGAGAAGGTCTACTTGAAAGTGGGTCCTTGAAAGTTGTATGGATTCTTACACAAAAACTGCTAGGAAATGTGGGTGTGTTGTGGACTGATGAAGATGAAGAACATAACTTTTATTCTACTTGCGTCTCTAGCTTTGTATGAAATCTAAAATCACTCTATCATTTCTAAGTCGATTTGTCTGGATGTAGAGGAAAGAATATATAACACTTATTATAAGTTAAATAAAACGTTAAGTCGTATATTTTGTTGGAGTATATGAAAGTGTGAATGTAAAATGTATTGATGTGTAGTTTTAAGAAGATTCATGTATAGCCCTTCATTAATAACACTAAAGTCACTTATAGTAGATGTAAAGGGGGTATGATTATGGCCATTTGAAGTTGTAAAGTAAAGAATGTTGCACGAAAAGGAAAAACAAGGGAAACACGATCATTTGTGGGTAGGGATGTCAAAACCCCCTGTAAGGTGAGTAACCATGCTTTCCTTCTAGATAATTGCTATCTAGATTAGTGTTTGGTTGTTATTATCATGGTATGTGAAAGATATAATGTGTTGATTAATGTTACATGGTGCAAAAAGATGGTAAAGCTGAGATTTACAACAAATTATTATTGTATAGTGTAATAAGCCAGTGCAATTGAGATTTATAGTAAATTATTGTTGTATGGTGTAGCAAGTAAGTATAACTGATTATAGTTGTATGGAGCAATAAGTTTATATAGCTGAGCATCATATCAAATTATTGTTATATGATGTAGTTAGCTTATACAGATGGAATTATTAATGGTTATTGATAATAGATAGAGATAGTTTGTATAGCTGAAATCATAGGTGGTTACTAATGATTGATATTTTGATATGAGACATAAACTTCCAACATAATCAGTCTGTAGATTCAAATGTCAACAACGAACCATGAGCATGCCACTCCTCTTATACCAACAACAAACGAGAAAGAAAATAATAATAATCATGGGATTTAAGGTAATGACATCTTTGTTTATCTAACTCTTCGTTCATTTTAATTACTTAATCCTCTCATGTAACCCATAAATGGTAATGTTCTTTTGAGGATTGAGAATGGGACTGTTTAGGTGGTTAGTTGTGTTATGTGTAAAACACTAATCAGTCCTCCCATGATGAGAAGAAGCTTGTTTGGTCTGCTAAGTTGTGTTGTGTATCTTTAGTTCTACATATAAATGTAAATGCATCTAAACTTGTTCTTCTCTTGTTTAACTTTGGTTGCTAGAGGTGTGATGTGGCACTGCCAATGGTGGTTTTTTATTATTTTGTGTTGAAACCCAAATCATATGTATTTTGATTTTTCTTAGAAATAGTTAACCGTGGTATTGTCTGGTGTCTTTTTATATCCCATTAACGAGTTCTGATATGTTGTGAAAATATAGAAATGTTTGTTCTTATATGTGTTGGACATCTTTTAATCATGAAACTAATGTTCATTTGCGATCAAAACTCCACACGGTGTTCAAAATGCAAACTAAATCAAACAAAGATTAACGAGATGCAAAAACTATGTCTCTTCCGCATTGACACATGCATATACTCAGGTGGAATCGACGCAACTTGTGCTTTTACGCCTAGTTCCCGAGTTTAACAAAAGAAAAGAAAAGAAGAGAAAATAAAGTCGGGAGAGAAAATGTAACAACCCAAAAACCAGATAAGATTTTTCATTTTTAAAAATAGGAATTACAATCATAATTAGTTTCCAAAATCCATTACATCATAAACATGTCCATTTATCAGAGTAACAACATTAGTAAATGCGGAAAATGGTGGAGAGTGAATGCTGTGCAATCAAGTCAGGCCCTTTCCTTTAGTACCAGAAGTACCTGAAACCACAATACAAACTGTAATCAAAAGCTTAGTGAGTTTCCCACAATACCATATAATCATACATACAATTTCCGTGGGCTACCCCATGGTCTTTTCCCTGGGATGCCATGGGCTACCCCCATGGTCTGATATCCAGGTGCCATGGGCTACCCCCATGGTTTTTTTCTGGAATGCCATAGGCTACCCCCATGGTCTAACATCCAAGTGCCTTCGGCTACCGCCGATGTCTTTCATACAAGTGCCTCAGGCTACCCCTGAGGTCTTTCAGACAAGCAAGCACATATATAACTATCATTCCACATATCAAGTAATGGGTCGACATTGGTGCCTTCGACCCATTGATATAGTGAGAAGACTCACCTCAGTCTGCTGATAAAACAACTGCTCGACTACCGATCCGAAAATCTCACACTGTTATATACAAATCACCCTAATTAGAGTTATGATAGAACCCAATCATGGGCCCAAAATACCTAAGTCCAAACTCTTCAAATAAGGCCCAAAAGCCTTTCTCCTTTAATGGGCCCCACTATCCTTGGTCTAAAAGCAATAACGGCCCATAAGGCCCAATAGGCCCAACCATGCCGCCTAAGGTTCATTAGCAAGTCCAAAAGCCCATTCCATGACACACAAGGCCCAAGAAAGAAAACTGGGCCCACCTATCCTAAACGGGCCAAGCCCCAATACGATATTCTGGTGGCCCAACGTGTAGCCTTAAACTCCTATGGTCCAAAACGAGGTCCAATACCGAAAGTCCAAACACCGCAGCCCATTGCTGAGTACGCGGGGCGTACTTAGCTTGTACGCTAAGCGTACACGATTAAGGGCTTGTACGCGCTTGTATGCCCAACATACTCCTCGGATTTGTCAACTTTGCTTTTTAGCTCTTAATTTGTTAAGACATTAGCCCCAAGACTCAGATCTGATCTCCTTGTGGTTTATCACGTAAAGTTTCCAACTTTACGTGGATGTAAGGCTTAATGAGGTCCTAAAGTTCAAAAGAGCTTAATAAATGACTTAATACTTGCATGGAGGTCACAAACACCATAAGCTTAAGGAGTCTACTAAGCATCCAAATCTACAAGATTGGCATCTCAATGGTCTTAACTCTTCAAGATCAACCAAAAGGGACCAAAAAGGACCAAAGCAAGCTTAAGAAGTGATCTAAGCAATAAATATGCAAGGTATGAACTTTATACCTCCAAAAGTGTAATACCCAGAATCAGGAAGATCAGGAAAGGAAAGAAAAGCTCTAAGTCAAAGGAGTCAACTCGTCGAGTCCAAGGAGGAACTCGACGAGTCGGAGCGTGACCCGTGTCGCGGAGTAAGTGACCGACTCGGCGAGTCGGGGAGACTGACTCGGCGAGTCTGGTCTGGGTTGGGAAACCCTAGTTTCGGGACTTGGCATCCTATTTAAGCATCTCATTCTCATTTCTAGGGTTTCATTTACAGCCTCCATTGTCCAGAGACGAAACCCTAGCTACCCAACTTCATTCTTGAGCTTAGGTGTGAAGATTAAGGTCCCTTTTGAGTGCATCTTGAAGGTTGAAGGAGAAAGGAGCAAGGAAAGGAGTATAGATCTAGAGTTTGGGTGTTATCTCAGATCATTTGAAGGTATGAAGCTCATACCTTGGCTATTAATCATCTAGATCCCCTTCTTTGCTAGTATCTTGTCACTTTTGGGACCATTTCCAAGGCCAACCCGAGTATTGAGCCTTTGAGGACGAATATAGATTAGATCTGAGCATTTCTGAGCTCTAGAAGCTCTGAGTGAGAAGCTTTACTCAGCTATGGCTTCCTTTCATGACTTAGACCTCCATTGTAGTTTAGGTTAGGGTGTTCTAGCCTCATAACACCTTGCATGCACGTAAAGTTAGCAACTTTACGTGCAATGCTAGCATAAGGAGTCCAGATCTATGAGTTGGAAATGTTGGAATAGACTGAAATCGACAGGATAGAGTTGCCACAAGGAGGACTCGGCGAGTCAGCTCATGGACTGGGCGAGTCGGGTCGTAAAACCCAAACCCTTCTGTTTATGAGTCGGATCAGTGAGTGGGGTTAGAGAAGGACTCAGCCAGTCTGTGCCAGTGATGGGCATGAAGATCATGGTACTCGACGAGTTCAAGGAGGAACTCGACGAGTCCAAGACAATCTCCTTAGCCGATGAAGATGGACTCGGCGAGTTGTAGAACAACTCGGCGAGTCGGTTGAAGATAGTCCTGAAGTGATTAGATGAAGGAGAACTCGTCGAGTTCTCGCTAGAATCGACGAGTGGAGTCGGGGTTGTTTGGGATTTGAGGAGCATGGACTCGGCGAGTTGGTAGAACAACTCGGTGAGTCGAGTCAACTGGAAGGTTGACTTTGACCAGGACCTTGACCAGAGTTGACTTAGTTGACCTCTGGAGGACAGTTTAGGCTAAGTTCTATTATTTGGTGTTGGTAGCTCGGTGAGCTAGGAGAGCAGCGCTTTAGAGAATAGTCGATTAGTATGACATCCCCATTTTCACGGCCAGAAAAGACCGATTTTGTTTATGCTTTATAAAAATCAGAGTACCTCTTTTAATAAAAATGTTGCGGAATTTGTTCCCAGTAAAACATGATAAATACGTTATCAAAGCATTTCCGAAGAAAAATATTTTTATTCATTTTAAAACATTTGGGATGTCATTGTCAATACAGAAACATAAGCATAAACAAAACTTACATTTATTTACACTAGTGATCTACATCTCTTTTAAATCTCTCAGTGTAATGTGACTTCATATCAACATCTGTGATATAAATAAACTGAGTGGGTCAGGTTGGGAAACCTGGTGAGTACATAGGGATTTCAATCCCACAATGTTATATCATATATATAATTTAGAACTCACAAAATATACAATTTCACCATATATGTATAAGCAACTCTTATCCCACCCCGTCGATCCTCACAACGAGACTATCCATACTCTCAAACCTAAGATTAACCGTTTTACCTAATCCATACTCCCGGATCAGAAATGAACGACTTTACCTAATCCATACTCTCAGATTAATGACGAATGGT